TATATATATACATATAGATATATTTATATATTTATATCGCACATATTTTAGGATTTATACCTTCAATGTTCCGTGTTCTTATTTCACATTGTTCCATTAATCACCGCATTGATCCGTGGTCCACAGAACGGCAACCTGACACCGGCGCAGCGTCAGGAGCGTGACGCAAAAGCACTCCAAGAGAAGCTGGCTAGGAAAAAGGCCGCTGCTGAAGCGGCAGAAGCGAAATGAGTGGTGTTGTCTTCCACCCTAATAGACGTAATCGCAATAGAGACTCGTGGAAATGACAATTGAATCGCGGCTCGTATTTTCTGTTAGCATTAAAGCGGGTATGAGTATAAATAACTGCACAGCTAATAGTGGTATTTAGACTAAACTGTACGCAACGAACGCTGGTGCGATATAGTGTAAGACCTTTCCGGCAATTTCCGAGCGTGTATGCCCTCTGATAGTGATCGAGACGGGCATGAAAAACTTGTTTAAAAATTAATAAACCTATAGCCATGTGGCGATGCTATTTTGTTTCTGTTTCACATGATATTTCGGAGGTATAACGGCTATATGAAACCATCAATTCTTCAGCTCTTGATACCTATGTTCGGATCATTACCAAATATACCTTCAAGGTTTTGATATGCACATGTAAAGATAACTTTCAATTTGAGCTCGAGCCTTATCAATGTATGTGTGTGGCGACACCCCGTATTTATGTAGCTAAACCGTTATTCAACAATACTTCTTTGTAAAAAGTATGTGTCTGGATACTTCAATACTGTAGATTTCATTGGTGCCCGGGCTCCTCTCCGCTATGACTTATCGATTATTAGCGCACGACCGGTTTCGCCACAATGGTTTCGTAGCCAGACCAGTATATAGCTACACCATATTTGTATTTAAGATACCTTTTATATATGCATCTTGCCTATTTCTATTTACTATTAATTTTATAAGGCACATACACAATATATAGCAATTGAATACACTAGGTGAAAGTAATAATATGTACTATACTCAATTTTATGCCCTGATCATTGATACGCCAATCGCATATCTCCCTACACAACAGTCAGATGTTGTAGACTTGTCTTTTTGTGTGCAGAACTTCTCTTATAATCCACTTGACCCTGCTCACGTAATAGCCGACCCGAAAACAATGTCACTAGTCCCCGAACTGGCGAAAAGACAAAAGGCAAAGAAAATAAGATGCTCGACTCGGTTTGAAAGTTCAAGAGGTGTGTATTTAACATTTGCAGACAGAGACGATTTTCAGCTGAATGGCAAGCACAGATTGTTGGAAAGTCGAAAATTCGTTCAAAGCTACAATTATAAGCAATACATATCGTTTAAAAATTGAAAGAAGAAACATTCGAAACAAAAATGCCGACGATGGGGAAGTTGTATAAGTTTGACACTTAGGCCAGTACGCTACATATACATATATTTTCTAGCAAATGTAATGAGAAGAGCAAAACATACAATATTAGTCCAATCGACGACACTGAAGATGTTAAATAATAGAAACCACGTAGAAGAGGTAGTAAAGGTGCTTAATGTTTGCGTTTTGATAATAGTTCAAATGAATCTTATTTTACTGCTAAAATATCACTTCGTTTACGATGCTCGCCACCCATTTTATCCGAGTGAGAGAATGGAGGGCGATCAGTTCATATTCTCTTATCTAACAACATGAGCTTAATAATATTTAAATGATTCCTTTTCTACTGCTAAACACATTTTTTCCACGGTGCTCGCTACCCACATACTGTCAGAGTGGGAGAATGGAAGGCCATCAGTTCCTATTTTCATATCTAATATCATGCCATAGGACAGCTGATCGAAGGTCTGCTCTTTGCCGACGACGGCGTAAATAGCTCACAAAATTGATGGCACATTTTCCTAAATACGAAAGGGGAGTTCTTCTTCTTCCGTATATGCATCAATATGTAACGTGTGCTGTGTACGGCAAATGTACAAGTTTCTGCATTATCAAAATCTTTCCCATCAGATACGTGACTCGTTTGAATGTTGGACATGATGTAGAGGTGTACAGATGCCTCTAAATGCTTCCAAGTGTATCAGGTTCACCAGGGTACAGATGAGATACTATACAGACAAATTTATGCGGGTTGAAGATCTGCTCGATCAGTCCTCCAGACGTGTTAAATTGTAGAATGTTTTAACCTAAAATCAAAGATGCGCACTACGCGCACAGATTTTTTCGAAACTTCGTAAGTACTGAGAGTATTCCCGAAGACTGAATCTGGTTCATGAAAATATTATTTTGGTATGTAGGTTTAATAGCACCGGGTACTCGGGTAGTGAAAGAAATCTCCAGAGCCATGTTTGGAGCAGGGCTCTATGCTCTAATCACTAACCAGCAGAGGCTTGCGTATCACCATGGTTCCTGTGATTACTGATTTATAACGTTAAATAAATAAATATTATATGTGTCTCAGCCAATGATCGCCCACATTAAATTATAGCATAATTTGTGCATACTACACAGTACCACCAGTACATTTACATACGTAGTGTTTGTTTCAGCCTTTCAGCCTTTCAGGTTGCAAACCGCAGCCAAGCTACCATTTCAGTCAGTTACTTAGTATTCAACTATTCTTCCTAATCATTCGACATAAGGATATAGTGATTGTGGACAAGACTGAAGATTCACTACTCGAGAGTTGCGACTCGTTCTATGTAGTTTGTAGTTTTTTTTTCATTAAAAAATAGCAGTCTCGGGAATCGGGATCGAACTATAAAAAATGTCAAGCAAAATAGATGCCAATTCAGGCGAATCAGCTATCATTTTAATTGAGAAGGGATATGAGTAGAACGCAGTGATTGGGTGTAGAAAGCTCTCCTAGACCAATTGTGTACTGCGCACTTTCAAAACTAGCAATACTTTTCCCTAAATCGATAGCTGCCAATCAAAAACTTTATGTTTAAACACATTATCTACTCTCATTAAATCATTATACAGGAATTTCCGAGTTCTAGCCACAACTTCAAAATGCCGCTATGCCTGAGGCTCACAGGCAGCAATGCGCAAGCTGACAAATTGATTTTGCATAGTACGGCATGTTGGGGTATCCGAGACTGACATGTCTGGCTAAATAGCTATGCCATATGTTTGGGATATTGACAGAGCTCGATATATAATGCACTTGCCTTCAAAATTCAGTTTCAAAGACTAGATTCAACTATATCGTCTTTTTGTCCTAGAACTCCATATTTACGCCATAGTAATTTGACTTATTATGAAATGTCTGTACAGCCTACTATATTTTACCGTCGTATCAGTACTGGCAACGTACGGCCAAGGTATAGTTCCGAGCACCCCAGTTGGACCATCTGCCAACCCAAATGAGCCGGTTCAAATAGATAATAGCCGGCGTGTGCTGCGCATGAATGAAATACAAACAATGGGCACACACAACTCATTTAAGTTACCTGTTCCTCCGCGCGTGGCTGAACTACTACAAGACATTGATAAGATGACGAGCAACACAGATTATCACGGAGAGTTGAGTTACGGAATGCCACCGGTGAGTGTGTTGAAATTGTATACTTCACAAGTGAGATGCATTAACCAGGCTTTACTAGTAATATTGGAGTTCAACGGAGAATATCTCGCTGTGAACCCTTGCGTGAATTCAGTGGACAGCCTTCAGTTTTGATTTTATAATACTATTAAGTGTACGCCCAGTATTGTGTTTGACACTATGTGTACGCTGATATTTTAAATGTCATTCCGGCATCGTTAATCACCATTTCCTTGATTGCGCACGGTTGATGCTCTAAACAGAGACCACTTCGACATGACTGTGCATTCGCACATCATGCTTTGAATATATATGCATGTCTAGACTTCATCAACACATACAAATCATTTTGTTTTATCGAGTCATCGAAGGATTCGGTTTGTGATAACAGTCGCTTTCTGCCGAATAGTTTAAGACCTGGTTGCTTATAATATTATCAATACACTGGACGATTAACACTTTTTTTATTATCACATCAATTCCGTCCGATTCCAAGATCGAAGAGCAGTTGTCGGCCGGAGCGCGACATTTCGAGTTGGACATCGCATGTAAGTCCTACAGGAGTGTTAAAAATAGATAAGTGACACCACATGTGCGCTTCTATGCCCAAATCGGACTTGTGAAGGAGTTGCAAAGGAGATGCTAGAGTTTGTCTGGTGTGCGCATCGGTGTCTGCATAACGGTTTTATTTGAAGGGATCAAATGCAAACTATGCCTTCTTATTGGGTGAATTTTAACATGGTGTTGGAGATATGTTTTTGCCTGTTGCTAAACAATATATTGGTATTATACGTGTAGTGTCGATGACTAACTCGTAATTAGTTGTCACGTACTTTCTATATAGTTGGCTCATGTTATTCACTTTTGCAATCTATTTTTCAATATTTATTGTGGATTAACAGATGACCCTACTGGGAGTCTGTACAGCGATCCAGGCGGTCTGCGGTTGCCCGATTTGGGTGTATTGGCCGACATCATCCATACAGGTCGACATGTGGTGGAGAAGGTCAAGGACGGAATTGTGCATGCAGGTGCGTGTATGGATTGCCAGCAAGCTTATATTTTTGCTATATTTCTCTGCATCTGTGCCAAATACAATTGAGTGGCATGGTTCTATATCACAGATTTCTCAGTGTATGAGAATTTTGGTCTATATTTGTTTTTTAGAAGTATTTTGTGCTCCAAATGAGATAACTTCACTCTATGCTGCCGATCAATATCTCATTTTACCTACTACCCAGCCAATAAGGTGGGCAATTTCTTCTCTGGACTATTCGGGCGCGCTATGACAATTCAGACGTGTCCCGAGACCCATCCCTACTCGTATCTGAGCGGCGAAAGTTGCTGTGCTTCCCGACGCGAGCGCATAAGTTCAGAGGATGGCCCAATCTGTGACGGCGGTGCTTTACGCTATTCGTCCTCATGCTGTTGGAAGTAAGTATATTGTATGTCCGTGTAGACAGTGTATGGTTGTTTAGAATCTGCAGTTAGTTTATGCATATTTCGTTTAATGAGAACAGGATCGCTTTACGTATCAAGTGTAGGATTGTATCTGTCGAAAGTAGGGCCATGTGGTCTTAAATGAACTGATAACTGACATATCCACACAAATGCTCCTGTTTTTGTGTCCGAAAGTGTAGATCAAATATAATTCAGGGAATGTAGCCTGACTCGGTATGTTTTTTTTTGCAGTGATAACTACGTCTCATGTCCCTTCAACAAGTGCGAGGACACCACAACATCCACACCAGGTGACAACGCGATTGGATGGAAAGTCATGCACATCTCGGATATCGACTTCGAAGGCCATTGCACAACACTTGTGGGATGTCTGAACATCTTTAAGAAATGGAGCGACACACACCCAAGACATCTCCCCATGGCGCTGCTTCTAAATATAGCGAACAATGACTTGACTGAGGGTATTGAGGCCAAGTTAACTACTCCCGTGTACGACTTCCTGTGTATGTTTGATATTTAGCCTAAATATAATTGTATCATGTCTATGAGATTTTTAATCAAATGTGTTCGACGTGTCTGCCGAGTGTGTACTAAATTTGCTGGCAGCAATTATTTGGTGTTTGCTGAATTGTTCTGTATATCTTATTCATTCCATTTTCAAACCTTTTTGGTCGCGTATGTATCATTTCGCAAGATAATACGTGTCACTGCTTGAGTCGCCTTGTTCGTACTAAATCCATTTGCTTTTATATTCTAATCAGCATCTATCAATTTGCTGCCATTCACGAAAGTCCCGGCTGCCACACGGCCCTTGCTTATATCGATTGAAGAGGAGGTGCTGTCTGTATTCAACAAGGAGCATATTATTACACCTGACGAAGTAAGGGGCAATAAAACCACACTCGAGGAGTCTGTACTCAGCGGAACGGGTTGGCCTAAAGTCGAGGATAGTCTGGGCAAAGTGTTCTTTGTGTTGGACTCGGATGCACCAGTGACTGAAGCATACCTAACCGGCAATGAGAATCTTGAGGATCGACTCATGTTTGTCAACACATATCCTGGAAGCAAGGTTTGTCACTTAAATACTACATAACTATCCGTTAAATATGCACACTGTATTGGTGGCATTGTGTATTTACAATGCTTTGTATACGATACTAAGCCCATGTGATCACAGGGGTTTAGGTTTTAGTTTGAGGTTGCTTTTAGAAATTACCTGTCGACGTGAAGCGTATCCACAACTACCCGATTTCTTCATTCTATATCACTAGCCGTATCACCTCAAGTTCAAAATCAAACCCTCCCAATAACCACAACACGATGGCAGACGGCGGCCACTCTGGTTATGAATGACCCATACGATCCCAACATCGATGACTTTGTGCTGAAGGGGTACTATGTTCGTACTAGATCCGATATTCGTCCTGTGCCGGTCGATGCGTTTGAGAGAGCCGAAGCCGCTATGAGGTGTGTTTAAATTCGATTGAAAGTACGGTTGTATGAGACAAAGTGGTGGATGTTGGTTTAATTTTATTCTATATAAATATATCTGCATTGGCAATGGACATGCCTGAATTCATTCGGTTGCAACTGAATTTGTGGCATGCCGGATACGATGCCATCAAACCCCTTGCTCTGCGTCAACGTATAAATAAGTCTTGTTTGAGTCCATGACATTGAAACAAATCTACTACACTCTACAGGAGTGGCGCACAACTAATATCTACCGACTTTATCCGGATGAAAGATGTTGCCGAGGGACGTACAGCCGAGGAGTACTCTACAAATCTACTGGGTGACAGTCACCCCCATGCAAAGGTCTCACCCAAACCGCAGCCACAGGTGTACGGGTACTCGTACTACTACAGCGTCACGCACGTCCACGACGGCTACATGCATGCGTATAGTGTGCAAGGGAAGGGCGTGGGTGTTAAACAACAGCGGAGAGATGCAGTACAGAAGGAAGGGATGCATGCAGATAAGATACACAATGAGCTGGCACCTGTGGCGCGCAGACAGACACCCCCACAAGATAATAACTTGGAGAACTACTCGGTTAGGTTTGACCCTACGTGCAATCCTTTGCTGGTGAAAGGCCCGTGCCCGTTGTTCCAGGACGGTGGCTGGACGGAATGGTATATGTACTGAAGCATAGCTTTGTGAAATGTGTACGAGTGAGAGTGTTTGAGATGTGGTTGTGTAAGTAATGATGTTCTAAAAGCTCGTGAAGGTATTTGTTCACAATATGTTGATTACAAAAAATGTCTGTTTCAGCAGCTATCTACCTTTTATATGACGGTCACGAGTAAGGCCAGTGCATCTCAGAAAACACTGCATCGTTTATGTCAATCCTCTTTCAAATATGTACATGATGTATTACGAAAACGAAGACAAACTTCATCATTCAAAGTATACATACTAGATTATCATCCATATAATAATACAATTTACCTTGTGCCTATTCTTTCCGATTTCAGGTCCGACTGGGGTCAATGTACATGTGATCATTTCCCGAATGGTCTGAAGCAAGATCGTTTGCGCACGCGCACCTGTTCTGCACCTGCACCTCTGAACGGAGGACTAGATTGCACGGGTGTGGACCAGGACTACGAAGACTGTGGCACCCCATGCCCCTCGGTAAACAGGATGAGTGGCTTGTACATATATGAATGCGAACGAGTGTCTATTGGTGCTTTCTATTTATGCACCGCTATGGACACATGGTCCATGCCACACAAGTTTCTCAAACTGAACGTTAACATTCTAACAATCTCCTATGTTCTCTGCTCGTCCGTAGGCAAGTCCATCAGCACCAGCACCGGTACTGGCCACGGCTACAGAAGCTGATGCGAATGCAAACAGTGGCGAAACAGATATTGCTGAGGCGACTGAGGTGAGTGTCACTGTTCTTAACTATGCGTCACAAGTTTGCGCATCCACAGATCTTAGTTCTAATTCTGAAGTGTGTATTTCAAATTGAATATCAGGATACAAGAAAATATTCGCTCATGAGTTTATTGTACCCTACACATCAGGTGGATGATGGATCAAATATGGGATTAATTATCGGCGCAGTTGTCGCTTCAGTGCTATTGTGTATGTGCTGCATGCTGGTGTTGGCATTGCTATTCGTTAGACGCCGTAAGCAGCGCCAGGCCGAGAAAGAGAAATTGGACAACACATCTGGTATGTAACCACTAGGATAGTTTATATGTGGTAATCGTTACACACACATACACACATATATATGTATATACATACATACACACACACACACACACATACATACATACACACACACACACACACATATATATATATATATATATATATACACTCACTCAC